TCAGTTTGACATTCCAACCACCTGAAGAAGGCCGGAGCATACAACAACTGAAACGTTGTAATAAATATGACGACAAAGATGAGGACAATAGTCTGAATAATGTAAATAGTGTACCATCATGTCTCTAATAAAATCACTGTGCTCATTTTGGACTATTATAGCAATTTTCAAATGAGAATGCTATCAAAGAATACTGTGTCGGGATTGTATAAATTGGAAAGGGGTATTATAACTGGATGTACAATCTCTGGTACCTTATTTTGCCTAGCTATGAATGTGATAATTAAAGCTACAGAAGTAGAATGCAGAGGCTCGGTCACTAGATTTGCACTAAGGCAGTCTCCGATAAGAGCTTATATGGACGACATGACAATAACAACTAATGTCTACTATTGGTGTAAGATGGCTACTAAAGGGGATTAAAAAGTTAATTACATGAGCTTGAATGAAAATTTAAAAAAAAAAGTCAAGTTCTCAGAGAAGGAGTGGTTCAGATTATCCAGGGAATACATTCCAGCAATTAAAGAAAAGCTCATAAAGAGTCTAGGAAAATGCGTTGGTCAATCTCTTTATGATCCAGAAAACTAAGGATAAGCTAGAAATGTGGTTAAAGAGAGTTGATAAGTCCAGTTTGCCTTGACATTTTAATCCATGAATCTATCAGCATGCCATTCTTCTGACAATCCTATGGCCATTGTCCATCTATGAATTTACAACATTTCATATAGAACGATTAGAAAAGAGGATCAACTCATGACTGCATAGGTGGATAGGTCTACTCAAATGTCTGACCAGTGCTGCCCTATACAGCAATTCCAACACACTCCAACTTCCTTTCAGAAGCCTAGTAGAGAAATTTAAATTCACCAAAGTTAGAACAACAATGCAGTATAAGTTCTCCAAAGGTAGCTGGAGTGGGCATCAAAGTCTATTCAGGAAGGAAATGGAGAATAGAAAAATAATTGCTATTAGCAGAAGAACCTCAAGAAAAAGCATTATTAGTTATGAGATACATGGGCTTAGGGTATTTCCCTACCATTCTGGTGGACAGGGCCAAAGAAAAAGACAGGGACCTTTTCATAGAAGAGGAAATATGCAAGGGTGAAGAGGAGAAAGGGCTGGAAAAAACAGCGAGACTAAGCCAACAAAGAGCATGAACCAAATGCGAGAACCATGACTTATAGGAAGATCAAATGGTCTGATATATGGCATAACAACATCAGCATAAGGTTCCTAATTTAGACTTTTATACAATCTCCTTTCCAGTTCTTTTAACCTTCAGTTATAGTACAAAATGGAATCACCCTTATGTCCACCGTGCACATGTCAAGGCATGTTAAAACACATTCTAAGTAGCTGTGAAACACTATTAATGGAAGGTTGGTACAGAAGTCAATATGACCAAATTTTAAAGGATATAGTAGAGATAGTTAGCATGGCCATCAGTGATAATACTTTAAATTCTGATAAAAGAGTGATAAGGTTTCTTAAAGCTGTTAATAAACCTATTAGTATATGGGGTGTATCTGCCACACAGAGTTTACTGACTATTCTGTGTTAAGTAGAATAACGCGTTCTAGACTTCCAGTAGCACACCAATACTAATATTAGCATTAGCGTAGCCATTGATACACTAACACTGAGTGCGAATATGAAAAGATGAAATACGCGAGCGTAACCAACAAAACATTTAATATGGCAAGCAGCCTTCGTACATACATACACAAGATTTATACATGTCCCAAAACAAATAATTGTCCATATTGTCCCAAAGGAATGAGGAGGTTAAACAGAATTAGAACAAAGAAATAACATATCAATTTCATGGCCTTTGGTCGTCCCCCGATAAGTGAATGATTTTGTTTTGCTAGGTCGTACACATGTTGACCAGTTTCCATGTGTGTGGACACCCTGGTGGTCAGGAAGGTAAAGAGGTTGTTCCTTCCAGAACGGAAGTAAAGACAAAAAAGGGAGAAGAATTCTACTCACTAAAAGGGGCCACAACTTTCATGGGCTAAAGCAAAGGGGAAAACAACTGTGGTCTCCCTACAAACCTAACACAGAGAAAAGGTCCACTGCAGATACTTTGTCATTGACAATAGACTGGGAATTAAGGGCCAATTTAGGAACAAGATGAAGATTTATATGGTTGACTATACATGGCATTATCAAAACATAAAAGTGATAACTATAGTAAATTTAAAGCCAAAAAGTACCTAAAATTCAATAAAACATTAGATTACAAAGACTACTTTTAAGATTGAGTACTTAAAAATAATATATAAAAGGCACTCACTTTATATTCAATTAATTTCCACAGCTAAAGACTACATGGAAGAACATTAGATGACATCAATCAGTCAAACATGTCAACAGCTTAAATAAACAGCGACTGTTATGTTAAAAAAAGTTCATTTCTGTGATATTTTTTAACTTAAAGTAAATAATATTTGTTTAAAATCAAATTAATTATACTTTGAATCAGATAATATTCCTCAAATAAAGTTTCAGAAAAGTATATTTTATTTATTTATGTATATATATATATATATAATGTTTAATGAAAAACAGACTGCTTTAAGGTACCATTACAATAATTTATTTCACCAAAATCCTTTTTAAAGGACTCAGGATCATCAGGTAACAATTTAATATATATATATATATATATATATATATATATATATATATTCTTGGTATGAAATAAAGGTCTCTGTGAAACAAATAAACAACAAAGCACCTGGAATGGATGGCTTACTGGCAGAAATTCTTAAGTATGGTGGCAACAAGATGATTGATCTTTTGAAGCAGATCATCCATGATGTGTGGGGGAGTGAGGCACCTAAAGACTGGAGATATGTAATACTTGTAATACTGCATAAGAAAGGATCAAAGTCAGACTGCAGGAATTTTAGAGGCATATCTTTGTTGTCCATTCTTGGAAAAGTCTTTTCGAGGATCATCTTGAATAGATTAATTGATATGATTGTCAATAGCATAGAAGTGTGGTTTTCACACAAGTCATGGCACAGTAGACATGATTTTCAGTGTTTGGCAACTGCAAGAGAAATACATAGAGCAGAACCTTCCACAATATCACTGTTTTATTGATTTGCCAAAAGTGTTTGATACCATGAATAGATCAACACTTTGGAAGATTTTATTGAAGTTGGGGTGTCTCTAGCAGTTTGTGGGTTTGATTTGATTTCTTCATGAAGGGATGCAAGTTAGAGTTAGTTTCAACGGAACTCTCTTGGTAGAAATACCTGTTGATAATGGGGTCAAATTTCTGCACCCATGCTCTTTACCATTTATCTTGCTCTCTATGAAAATCCTGATGGTATATACATCAGATATCGAATGTCTGTTAAGGTATACAGTATGTGTAGAATGTTGGCACACAAAAGGTTTTGTCCCGTTTAGTGAGGGAGCTGCTCTACATGGATGGTTGTGATATCGTTATTCATTCTGAAGATGAAATGCAACGTTTTATGAGCTGTTTTGTGCATGCATGTAAATCTTTTGGCTTAGAGATCAATCTGAAAAAGGCAGTTGTTATGCACAACCCAGCACCTGGATTGCCCTCCATAGAACCAGCTATATATGTTTAGGGGAAGAAGCTAGACAAAAGTGTATCATGGCAGCATGCTTGCTGAGAAATGCAGTCTTGACAAAGAGATCTCTGTGCATTGAAAGAGCTTCTGTATCCTTTTCGGGTCTTGAAAAACGTGTTTGGCCCCAGCATGGAATCAAGCTGCAAACAAAGGTCATGGTCTATAAAGCATATGTTTTGATGATTCTCTTGTATGCAAATGAAATGTAGACACTGTATAAGCACCAAATAAGGGCTCTTGAGCACTTCCATCAATGATGCCTGCGACAGTTGCTTTGTATTAGATGACAGTCCCATATCTCAGATACAGAAGTATTAGAGAAAGTTAGACTACTAATCAATAAATCCATGGTTATGAAAAGTTGTCTTCAATATGCTGGTCATAGTCGAATGGATGACAGTCATCTGCCAAAGCAACTGTTTTACAGTGAAATGAGGAAAGGCAAAAGAAATGCATCAAAACCTAAGAAAAAATTTAAGGAATTTGTAAAATTTTGCATGTGGCAATCCAGAACTTTGCAAAATTTAGCCTGTGGCAGTCCAGCACATTGGTAAATCAATGGGAAACAATGGCAATGGATAGAAATCGATGGCGCAAACTGATTCATGATGGTATAGAATCCTTTGAATATAGTTGTGTTCAGTATGCTGCTTTCAAATGATCAGTTTGTAAGGGTGAACAAGGTCCAGCACCATTTCCACAAAGTCATCACATCAACTGTGACATATGTGGAAAGCTCACTTGTGGGTCTCAAAAGCCATCTGCGCAAATATGTCCAACCTGCTGTTCTGCAAAATAACATTCATGTAAACCAAATGATCGACAGTGTCCAGTCTGTGGTAAAACTTGTCACAGTTTGATGGGCTTGAAAAGTCATCTACGGGTGCATACAACTTGAAATAAGCAAGGAAAGAGGAGAAAATGTGAAACTCAAGAGGTGGTCACACTTGAAACTGAGACAACATCCACCATATATATATATATATATATATATATATATATATATATATATATATATATATATATATATATACATGCATACATAAATAAATAATATATACTTTTCAGAACAATTATTTGAGAAATATCATATTATATAATATTATATTGTTATTATTTGAGGAATATTATATTAAATTATCATATATATATATGTGTGTGTGTGTGCTTGTGTATGACTTTATTGTTCAAAATGTGCTATATTTATATAGGAAGAGAGCTCAATATCATATCGGTGAAAGAAATGTTGATTTCTATATTCACAATGTCTCAACATGTCTTCCCACTTACTCTGATATATATATATATATATATATATATATATATATATATGTGTGTGTGTGTGTGTGTGTGTGTGTATGATTATATGTAATTTAAAGAACTCACTAGCAGCCAAATTTTTAGGAACCACAAGAATTTTGCAGTCTGATTTTTCTTCATCAGTCAACTTCTTTGTTTTCCATTCCATGTAAGAATCTGGACAGTCTTGAACTTCCAAGCAGGGAATCCAATCAATGTCATAAATATATTTATTCTGCTTTCCATATTTATATTCTACTGTATAAGCAGGACATGTACTTCCAGTGGATATTTTAACTGGAAAAAAGAAAATAGTATTTTAGAATTATAATAATGAAGATAATGAAAAGAAAAAAGGTTACACATTCACTCATCAAAGTAAATATGCAAATTTCTTTTGCACAAACAGATGCTGCCATCTTGTAAGAGAATTGAACATTATCATAAAACAATGTATTTCTTCTTTATTGTTAAAATGATCATATGATTACACAAGTTATCTCATTTGTGGCAACAAAGAGGCAAAGCAGCTTTACATTGGGTTAGTATTTATAATTGTATATAAATTTATATTTTTCTTGCTTTATTTTTTACTATAGCACATGCAAAACCTGGAACAGAGAAATAGTTGGCAACGGCCTTCTCCTTTGCCTTAAATTTATTGTCAAATGAATCTGTGTGAATTATTTTTTGAATTGTCTTTGACAAGTAAGAAACAGAGGCAAAAGCATAAATAGTTGGCACTTCTCCTTTCTCTTTGCAATTGAGAGAGAAAGTAGAGCCACAGAAAACTATGTCAAAATCTGCAGTCATATTGCCACGTGTCCATTTTAAATCTTCAAACAATATTCAGTTGTTAAAAACTCAAATGTTAGTAAATCAAGAAAGCTTTTATAAGAAACAATATGAAAAAAGGACAACATCAGATTTTCAGAATAAATTCTTTCATATGAGAATCACCCCAAGTAAAATGATAATGCCACTAAGACACAAAGAGCTACTGGGAGTGAAAGTGAATGAAAAGATTATGGAAAGAATTGGAAGCCAAATCCTAAACAGGAAACAAGGAATGAACTTCTGTTCCTATTCAAAAGACCAGAGAGGAGTGTGAGTAAGATTCCATACAAATATAGCATCAAGAAAGAAAAGATTACAAAAAAAAAGGTTTTGATTCGTATTTATTGAAATAAAATTTTTAAAAATAGGTTTTCAATTGAAACGATTTCTTACCTAGTCTTCTGTTGCTCATTTCCTTTAAACACAAATCAAACACCTTGAAGACATATTCTTTGAACTTTGATGGGAACAGTTCATCATCAGGACCTAAGAGCTCTCGAAAGTCAAGTGGCAACATCTTTCTGTTTGTTACAAAGACACGGCAATAATTGGGTGATGAGGAGAGCTGCTCAATTCTACACTGTACAAGCGTTGAGCACAAAAGGTAGTCAAATTCATCTGGCTTTGACACCTGTTAAAAAGAAATTTCAAAAGAGAAAAGGTAATTCATTGTCAGATGCACAAACCACACAAATGATCAAAAGGAAAATAAACATTGAAAGAGGAAGGATTGAAAATATTATGTAAAACAAATACGAATAAAATAAAAAATGATGAGGAAATAAAAATAACATGGAAATTTATGGGGAATTAACAGAATATGTATGTTTGAGATGATTTGCCATCATTTAGAACTCAAAAATAGACACCAGGCTCCTGAACATTCCAATGCATCTAATCATATCACATGTAAATGATATGATTTGAGGTAATTTGCTTAGACAAAAAAGAACTACTATCACATGAACCTTACCATATATCTCGGCATATCACATGTAAATAATATGATTTGAGACAATTTGCTACTCAACTACAGACTACCAGACACCTGAATGTTCCAATGCATCTAGTCATATCACATGCAAATGATAATTTGAGAAAATTTGCTACACAACATACACAACATATACTAGACACTTGAATGTACCAATGTATCTAGTCGTATCATATGTAAATGATATAATTTGGGACAATTTGCCACTCAATAAGAGCCACCAGACACCTGCTCATTCAAATGCATGTAGTCATATCACATGTAAATGTTATGATTTGAGACAATTGGCTGGTCAACTTTAATACCTCAAAAACAAAACTGCTCTCTATTATTCACCACTGCCCTGCCTTCCATTAGAACTTCTTGAGAGCACCTCTCTGCGGCTGCTTGGTCTCACGTTGACTGCTGACCTGAGATGGAACAAATACATTGAGTCAATTGCTTCGTCCACCACAAGGAAAGTTGGCTCCCTGTGCCATGCCAGGAAATTTTTCTCCCTGCAATTGATCCTCCAGATCTTCAAATCAATCATTCAGCCTTGCATGGAGTATTGCTTCCGTATATGGTCTGGAGCCCCTTCTGTTTGCCTCGGGGTTCTTGATAAGATCCAGAGACGGATATGCAATATAATTGGCCCTGTTCTGGCATCTCGTCAACAGTCGCTCTCTCACAGATGCGTCGTCGCCTCTCTCTGTCTTTTTTACAAATACTTTCATGGCAATTGCTCCGAGGAGCTGCATTCGCTGGTTCCCAGACTTCATGAATTCAAGCGCCCTACGAGGCTGGCATCCCACTCTCACCCTTTCACTGTCGAAACTCCTAAATGTAGCTGTCTCTTCTACTACAATAGCTTCATGTCTCACACCTCTCGCCTGTGGAACTCCCTTCCCTATTTCAGTTTCCCTGAGAGCTATAATCTCCAACTATTCAAGTGTAATGTCAATCGGCATTTCCAATTGCCTTGATCTATCCACTATCCTTCTCCTCATCCTTTCCGCTGTCACTCCTATCTGATCTTGCTCCAAATCTCCTGTAACCCCTTGTGTCCTAGTGGCTTCCCGCCTTGCTTGGGGTGAAATACTTAAAAAAAAAAAAGAAATTTGCTACTCAACAAGAGCCACCAGACACATGAACTTTACAATGCATTTAGTCATATCACATCTAAATTTTATGTGATAGTTTGCTCTCAGTTGTTTCACAGCAGAAGTCACACCCTTTTTCATAGAATTAAATCAAACAACATGTTCTCTTAGTTATTAGTCAACTTAGTGATTTGCATACTGATACTACAAGGCTATGAAGTTTGTATCTAACCCTTCAGAATGGATAGTTTTTGGTTCCATGTAGTTCACATTCTAGATTCCATTGAAACAATCATTATCAAAACAAAATACCAATCCCAAAATAGTGGACCTGATATGACCCATGAAAAGTTATACTCATCTTGGTATATTATTTTCTTTCTATCTTCATGTTTTCAGTAATTGGTGGCATATTAAGTTTTATTTACTAACCTTGTTTAAGCTGTGATCAGTGAGGCAAGAAACTGGTTCATGAAATCATCATAGAATATCATTCACTCTCCTCTTGCTAATAGTGACATGTGATTGATATGAAGATAAAAAAAAACAGCCAAGAGATAATACCAAGAATATTTCTTTTTTGTATTGTTGGGACAGAACAAGAGATCAACAAAACAGAACCAAAATGAAAAAAAACTAGTGTCAAGATTCTGACTAGTGGGTGTATTATACTAGTTTATTCCTCTATAAATGGAAAACTTGTTCCACTGAATACCACAACCAAGTTAAGTATTATAATAGAAACTAAAATTTCCTTCTTTAATATTTTATCAGTTTGAGTGCACTATTAATTATCAATTAATAGTCAATTTCTTCAACTAAACTGCATCACTAAGCAATACTATAGTAAATCCAGGTTCATTCTCTCAGATTTCAGTTGTCAGATGTAACCGTTCATTATCTCTAAATGGAAAACTTGTTCCATTGAATACCACAACCAAATTAAGTATTATCATAGTGTAGAGGACTGATATGTTGGGTTTTAGTTGAAAGAATAAATTTGGGCTGCGTGTTCAAAATCAAATATCCTCACACATTTAAATCATACTTCAACGACATGCATAACAAAGAACATAAAAAATAACATGAATAACCACAAATATATAAACAACAAACAATTTTTCTTGATGTAGTATAAAAGATAATACAATGATTTATGCTAAACTGAAGTTGAATTTGAAATTGTGTGTTGCTTGTTTGAATAATGTTTAAACTCTTTTTTATGAAGTGTTGGAATGTGGTTGTGAGTTTAAATGATAAGATGCAAGTTATAGTTGTTGTAATCCAATGTTCACAAAGTTAGTGAATGTGTTATGCTGTTTCTGTGAAGATTAAACTTTTTTGTATTAAGTAACATTTTAGTAATATTTGAAATAAAATTATTTCAGTAAAAGTTGTCTTTTTTGTCTGTATCATTGTCAAAGAAAAATGTGGATGTACTGATAAATCATCAGTTACCTCCCCTTAAGTTATAGGAGGCATAAAAAGCAACTTATAATATCCATCAGTAGACAAGTAGTCAGAATAAAGTGCAATAAAGGTTTGGTATAAGTTTATTCACTGGTTCTGTTTTTACTACAGTGGAATTATTTTAGCAAAATGCAGCAGAATAAATATGTTTTGTGATTAAGAACTTGTTGAAAAGATTAATCGTCTGCTGTGAAAAATATGAAGTTGAGTAGAAAGATGAGTGAGTGATTTCTGTAAGTTTGTTGTATGTTCATAAGTAACTTGGAAAACTTCAGAAGAAGTGACATAGGTTCGTGTAGCAAATGGTTTAAAGTCACAATGCTCACTGGTGAGGTGAGTTAGTGTTCTGTATTTATTTACTTGGGTAGGATCCAAAGTAATTGGCACTAATTTTTTTTAATTTGATCATGTGATGAAAAAAACTTGTGCTTTGGTGGATAGCAATGCCCACTTGTATGACTGTTGACCAATTAGAACTTGAATTTTCAAAGAATATGTGCAAAGTTGAATCTGTTTAAAACATCACTGTGATCCAAGTTAAATTGATATTTTATCAGTCTGAGTGCACCATTAATTATCAATTAATAGTGAATTTGTTCTACTAAACTACATAACCAAGTAAGCGATACTATAATAAATCCAGGGTCATTCTCTCTGATTTTAGTTATCAGATCTATAGGATCATGATCCTATATCATTCACAAACCTCCAAATTACAGGTTCCAAATTTAATAATATAACAACGCATTCTAATTGCCTGAAATTATCAATTATATGTTGTCAACTATGTCCAAATGTACTGACCCTATTTTTGACTTAAGTAAAAATTCCTTTGTGCCAAAAATCCTGCAACCTACCAAGTGACACATATTGTGTATATTAGTGACACATAATTCAGAAATGGATGGTGAAGTGGTTCAGCTTTTGTTCCTGTAGATATTTTACGTGCGAATTAATGCTAAGTGTGTTTTTGAATTTTTGTTACTTGTTTAACTTTTTTGTTCCTTTCATTTTTAATTTTTGTTTTAATTTTTGTTCTGCTTTCTGCTCCAGGCGGTATACCATTTTTTTTATGTGACTCACTTTGATTTTGTAGTCAAATTGTAATTTTTTTCCCCACCTTATTTTAGTTTTCTAAGCAAGACTTTTAATTTTTTGGTTTTGTCTTTTGCTTTCTTTGTTCTTTTTGTGTCTTTCCGTCTGATTTGTTTTGTTTTTGACATAGCCAAGTTTAGTGCTGCCAATGAGTGAATCTGACGAATCTCCAGATAACCAGGGAGGTGAAAAACATGGCCGGGGCTGAAAACAGGCCAAAGAAAAAGGATGTGGCATACTATGCCAAAGGTTGAAATATAAGGAATTCTTCACTATTTCTGAGGAATTGAATGATGTGAACAAATGAACAATCTCCCTGCTGACCTCTGACATAAAGAGTGAACAATTGATTGGGGTCAGCAGGGAAACATTGGAAGAGGCCCTTAAAAGCCTAAAAATTGGGCCGAAAGTGTTGGTCAGGAGGGCAAACACAGTGTGGGATAATCTCCTGGCTACTAAGCAGGAGGCCAGGCAGCTGGCCAGAAGTGTGTTTGACAGCCAAGTCAGTCCAACTCTAAATGGAGTACATGGGCACCCAAAGGACAAGGATTACGGTACATGGGGTACCTGTGGGCATTGATGAGGACCACGTGGGAGCCTTCTTTGCCAAGTATGGCCAAGGGGAAGAAGTCAGTGCTGTTACAAGCAAGTCCGGCAACACCACCTGGGGACATTGAATTACAAATAACCTTGACACGAGTTTCGGTGAAGTCCCCATCATTCTGATGTGCTGGAAGAAAAGGCTGCTGGTGGTCGTGACGGGACGTAGACCTTACTTTTGGTCATGTGGGGTCTCAGGGCACATGCCAAATGTGTGACCATCTAAGAACGGGGCATCACAATCTCAAGGCCACCCAATGACTACGACGATGAGAACAACAACAACAACAGTAGTAGCAGCAAAAACAGTGAAGGTAGCAGCTGAGAAGGTCCCTGATGGTGACTGGAAGGAGGTGAAAAGAGGGTGAAAGATGACAAATATGCCCTATC